GGAATTCTCCTTCAGTGCTACGTTAAGCAAATACAACAAAGTCCTGTCTGCAGCCACACTCCATAGACTACAGTGGAAACATCATCACCTCTCTCTCTTCTTCCTCAATGTCTCGCTCCCTCTCTCGCTCTCTGATCCAGCTGCTCATTTGGCAACGGAGCAAAAAAATAAATGATGTGCTTCAGCGGAAGGAAGGCTTCACTGGGAGAAGGATTGTGGGTAGAGGGGCCGAGATGAGGATTTGGTTAGGAGTTTTAAAGACAGTTTATTTAAATGAGGATCTTTTTTTTAGCTTAAAAAATCAGTGGGACATTAGGCTTAAGGCCGCTACTGTCCAATTAGGCTTTCAATGGCTCTCGGTTTAATCTACCGGAGTCCTTGGATGTTATAAATAAATATAAATGTATGACAAATAAAGAACCTTGAACCTTATGTTTTTGTAACTCTATTTAGTTAATAGCTGGGCTTTTGGAAAGGAGTAGGTAGGGCTGCTCAATTAATCGTATTTTAATCACAATTACGATTTTGGCTTGCAACGATTATGAAAACAACATAACCCAAATAATCGAGATTATGATTTTGCCAAAATCGAGCAGCCCTAGGAGTACAGTAGCTATTCTTTATAAGCCAGAAAGATAAGTATATATCTGTGAAATAGAAATGTAGAATGAAGGATCATGTGAAGATAAACCTAAAATGGTGAGACGAAGGGGAATAGCTCGTTTGCTTTCTCATTTAAAATACAGTATAAGGAATTTAACTGGCCTGAAGAATAATTTACTTTCTCACTATTGAGCTACTAACACTCTATTAACATTTGATATGAACCAAACAGTGATCACAGGACGTTGATTAGGCTTTACTAATTGTTCCTTTGCCTGGAAAGGAATTGCCTTTGTCTACTTTAGGACAACTCCAATGCCTTGAAGGAATAGTTTTACATATTGACTTTCTTAGAGAAGTAAATGAGAAGATCAATACATCTCTCATGTCAGTCCATTAAATATGAAGCTAGAGCCAGCGGCTGGTTAGCTCAGCTTGGCACACAGATAGTATTAGTACAAGGAGGAAAGAGCTAGCCTGGCTTTGAAATTGTATATCAATGCTTTTTATCTGGTTAAATAAAAGGTTAAATACAAATAAAATGTTCAGAAAGCAACAAAATCAGTCTTCCGGAACCTCTAAAACTCACTAATAAACTGGTTTTATTTTATTTGCCTCGATAATAACAAAAAACTAAAGCATAAATACATCAAATTGTAGATTTACAGGAGTTGACATGAGGGATTATAACTCGGCCAGGTGTAGTCATTTCCTGGAAGCTTGCCATCACAGCTTGTCAACCATTTTCCAAAATGGCAGTGCATTTTAAAACAGAACAGCCCACCTATGGGGATGGTGCGCATTTTGTGCAATTTATTATTTGTGATACGGGAGACATAATAGAAAACAAGGCTGAAAGAGAGATGAAATGGTGTGTGGCTAGATTCAAAACCATCGGCATTGTTGTTAATGATCGGCACCTTAAGCTTTCCTGAGGCACAGGGAGGGCTCGGTGGATTAGTCCTGTTTTAGGTTAAAGCTGAATGGAGCTATGCAAGGAATTTCTAACAATGAAAACAGTCATCTTATTAAGCAGAATACAAAAGAGTAGTATATGGTGGTGGTCATGAGTCTAAAGAAGACAAAAACTGACAAAAAGTTGAAAACAAAACACACACCTTCAGTTACTCAGGGCTGACCTGGTTAGTTCCCATGACAACAAATATCTTCCTATTAGGACTAGCTAGGTGAGGAAAAGATATGAGGCATGTGGCGCAGTGGATATAGCCTTGGTGTTGGGATCAGGGGTCACAGGTTCAAACCCCACTGCAGTCAGCATGTCGTTGTGTCCCTGGGCAAGACACTTCACCCCAAATGTTTCTCCTGTGGGGATTGTCCACAGTATTGAGTATGTAAGTTGCTTCGGATAAAAGCGTCTAACATGTAATATGAACCCGAGGAATCCAAGTTGATCTACAGTGCTAATCATAGTATTCACACAAGCTACATGCCACAGGCTGCGTTTTTGGCTGAAAACAACTAAACAATTTGTAAATGCTGTCCAAGGTTATTTGTTCCAATTGTAAATAAAATAATCCCACAGTCACCTTCCCTGCGTTCCCCTGATCTCCAAGTAAAGACAGGATCCCCCCACAAGCTAATACTAGTAGCGATTAGATGCTACTAAATATTTACACTGAGTACTGCCTGATATAGCTAAGTGAACTAACTGACAAAGCTAAGGTTGATAATATACAGTACCACCCTTAATAAGAGTAAAATAGGTCATATCAAATATATTAAACAGGGGCTGAGCAATATCGAAGTCTTATCCAATTCCTAACAATATTTCCTTATGCATTGCAGAAAAGCAGGAAGCACAATGTTGATTAAAGGGGGAGTTTTTGCCGCCCCAAAAATCACATCATTTAATGGTTTTCCGTTCAAATGAAATTAATCATGTTAAAAGGATGGATCCCTCAAATATCGTCAATGATAGTCCAATTTCAATTTCATTTCATTCAACAGAAGAAAAAAAAATCAGAAACACAAAATAATAAACAAACACACCTGCCTCTGCTCTCTGATAAGCCTCAAGTCAAGCCACAGGTTTTCACAGCAGATGGCCAAAACATATTTCCGCAATATCCCCACACATGAATGAGCTTAACTGCACTGAGATATCTGCAATACTGAAGATGTTTACTTAGACCAGATGAAACTTGGAAATTGAGAAAAAACAGCGCTCGCTCAAGAGAAACCAGAAGTTGGTCCTTGAATTGAGATTGTTAGTTCAAGTGGGAAACTCCAGGCTGAATGAGATGCCCAAAATATGAATAGTTTAGAATATAAAACATGTAACATGATGAAACATTTTGTACAATACAGCATCAAAAGGCAAACTGTATGAAACACCAGAGGCCAGCCTGCCCTGGAGAACTAAGTTAAATCACAAAGAGGGGTAGCTCCAGTCCACTTGCTCCTATAGCCCTGTATGGCCCTAAAGAGATGATGTGTCATAAATGAGAGCGATGTCAGATTGGATTATGGTTTAGGTACAGAGCTTCTGTGTAAACGCCTGGTTAGGTTAAGCTTCATGATGAAGAAGACCCCTCCTCCTCCTCCTCTTTTACTTCTCCCTCATTTCCCCAGTGTAAGGTTGGCTGTGCACACTTTGCTCATAGTGTGCTGTGACCAGACAATAAGACAAGAGATGCTGTAGTCCATAGACTTCGAATATTTTTCTTTTAATTTGGTGAGAAACTGTGCAAGCAAATTCAAAGAGATGTGGTGAGAAAAAGGGAAATTGGATTTTAAATCTCTGAATTAAACCGATATTGCATGGCTGAATATTCCCCCCCAGCATCTGTACGCTGGCTCATTTACAGTAGAGGAGCAGTGCAGGGAGCAGCGGAGCTTAGCATGGCGGGTGGAAAGATGCTGCTAGTTCATCAACTGTGAATGATAACAAAAGGAGATAGTGGGCAGCGCATGCGAGAATATTCCCATAATATTCAAAGCTTGAATAAAAACATAAGATTGCAGGATAAATACATGCAGGTTAAAAGGAAACAAAGGAAAAGCGTGGATGCGATGTCCAGAGAAACAATGCATCCCAGAAAGCACATATAGTACCTACCTTAATGTTGTCAAGAGGACACTTTTATCTGTGCATCTTCTTTACTGGAGCCCACTGATTTCATTCACATCAGCCGAAGAGAAAAAATTAAAATAAAACTGTCAATGAGCATTTTGTTGTCAGGCGTGTTTGTGAAAAAGAAAAAGAAAACACTGAAAGCTCGAGGCTCAACCCAGCTCGCTATGCTAGTGAGAACTATATTCTTCTTGTTTCCACAGACAGGCTATAATGTCTGTTCTTCATCAGAAAAGACAGCCTCATGTTGTGTAGCATAATTTACGTTAGCCATAAACGGCTAACCCGTAACGATATTTCTACCGCAAACCGGGGAGTAGTGGAGATATGCTATGTTCACGATTTTCCGTCATCTCGCTGTGTTTTGGTGAGGATGGTAAGAAAGCAAAGAAAAAGGATGCTCTCAGTCTGAGGCAGTGAGCAGGTCCCTCGCTCCTGCTTTCTACGGAAGCCCAGATGCGTTCGCTTTTCTTTCTGCTTGTCTGATGGAAAGGAACCAGGTCATTTTTTGACAACCTATTTTTACTCTGAAATCCACACGAAATAAATAATAAGAACATATATCTAATTTCTTTAAAAATACACATTTTTTATTGCATTTCATACCGGATGTTAGATAGTTAACATTTTTAAATATGCAATTTAAGGGTTTTGTTTAGCCCACAATGGACTTTTATCCGTGTTTTAAAGGATATTATCCAGATGTTATAGTAGAGTAAGTCATAATGCAAAATAAAAATATTACGCAAAATAATTCAACCTTATATGTTTAGTTTGTCTTTTGTGTAAAACCATAATTGAAAAGATGTCTATGACATTTGGATTTGCTTCCCATTTAGTTAATCAAGTTCATTTCTGATCTGCCTTCACTTAGACACGCCATTAGTCACCCTTGAAGTGGTTCTGAAACAACTGGCATCTCAAAACATATTCACAAATAGTCACTTTATTGCTGTGATAAGATAGGCATAACAATCATTTTGAGAATGAGTAATGATATACTGATGCTAGTCTGCTTGATTCAATTTCACAGTTTAATCGAGGTTAAAAGCAAATCAACAAATTAATATTATGTTGAATAATAACAGGGGATGTGAGCTAAATTGTTTTCTAAATTGAGTTTCAGTGCACAGCAGCAGATTAATCAGGACAGATGTTTTGGTACTCTGCTCCATCTAGTGGAGGCATGCAAACATTACAGCTCACATTTTAAAGGAGTACAGTACACAGCACTGTTTATGAATACTGGACACTTGGTTATACAGTAGCTATAGGACTGATCACAAATTAGAAACAAAACATCTTGATTGGACCATTTTATTTTCTCAGTGACATTTATGAAGCCAGAAGGAAGATCTGTTCTTTTGTTATCATACACAATGTCAAAAACAATGACTTTATTTTCTGCTCACCATCACATCAACATAATGCACACACGGTACCAACTACACTCACTGAAAGCCTGGGGGTTGGTACAGGGCCTGGTTCACCAAAGGAATGCTATACTAACATCTCAAATCCATCATCAGGGCAAAGACAATCCTTCTGCTTTGACGCCTTTGGGAGGGCAGGCCAAGATATGAGACAATCCAGTTTCCCAACGTTGGGATTCAGAGGGGGATAATTACAGGAAAGATTTGAGACCATTTCCAATAATCCACAGTCTGTCATCTATCTGAATGGAATGATGCATCAAGAAAATGAAGTGTTACCTAACGAGAACCCTTTTTTACAAGTCAATGGGAAACAGCTTAACACTGCACAGCTTGCGTGATGTACATGAGAACTTCAGTGACAGATGTATTGATGGCTTAGTTGTGATGCAGCATGGTTCTTATTTGGTAATTCAAATTGCATTGTACTCCCAAGCAAGACTCAGCTTTGCACAAATTAAGCCACTTTAATAAGGAATGTATGATTTGGGAACACGGACTAGAACAGACATTTTAAGAAAAGACAAAACAAGACCTTTCAATACAAATAAACAAGTGTGAAGGTTTGTAGAATGCAATTTCTGTGTGAAATAAGTATACCTACAAATCTGTAGATGTAAAGTTTATTTTGCCTCCATAGCTTTGGGTGCCAGACCTCCTGAGAAAATCAAAGTCAGAGAAGCTTTCTGTACAAAACATGTCCTCTGAAGAACTCGAGTAAACTGGTGGTCCTCTCTAAAATGAATTCCTCTTTGCTGGCTAAGATAATAGAAGTTGAATCGGGACATGAGACTCAGATGGCAATTTTTGTTTAGTTACCTTCCCCTAAGTAAAGTTTATTTCTAATTCATCCTTTTAAAAATGACAGAAAAAGGAACCTTATCAAAACTAGCACACTCTGGGGAACAAGGAAGTTATAGCACCCAGATATGTTCAGGAGACTCATGGATCCAAATGAAGACATCTAAGCTCCAAAACATTTTGGGGAACTGACTGACAGGATGACATATTTAGAGCAGGGCGGCGGCTTGGCTGTCATCTTACTATATTAAGCCTCTCTTGGAGCATTCTTCAGTGACCATACTAAAGAATTCAGATCAGAACTCCAATTCAAAACTTCCGATTCTGTCACTTCTACAGCGAGACCTGACAAATACTGTATTTGGGCCACTGTGTAGATTAAGGACCACTTGCTTATTATTACCAAAGAACAGTTAGAAAAACAGAACAAAAAGGACAAACCAGGCTACAGTAATATACACACAATGGTAAACACCCTCATGCTTCACAGGAAAAAATGAAAGATCACATGTCCAGCATACACACACGCACACACACACATATTTTCAAATACGCTGGTGTCATTTTTAACTCATTATTCATCTAAGAGTGGTCCGAGATAAAGGATGTCAGGAAAATGCCCCAACTTCAATATAATAAGGCTGCAAGTTGTATTTACAGCGGTCAGGTCTACAGACAGGCTGATGTTAGTGGATGTAAGATCTACTCATCAAGCTGAACTGAAGGAGGGATACAGGGACTCATTTACATCAAGAAGTGCACAGAAAAATGTACACTGGCATCTCGAGATTTTCTCCTTCACTTTTCCTATTCAACATTGATGTTTCTCTCAAGACGAGACAGTCGGTTGTGGACGTACCACTCTTGCATAAATGATGGTTAAAAACAATACCAGGCAAAATAGAGACATTTAAATAATTTACGATGTATTTACACAATAATCCATCTTATTTTCCAGCAGTGTCATTTCATCTTCTCAGCGTGGGAGTGCATCCTCTAGTCACCCATCTTTACTTTCGATGTCTGAGGGAGAAAAAATAAAACAGTTGTTACAATTTGAAATAAAGAAACATCCACATATTTTTAGATCCAGTTAGACTTTGCAATGACACTTCTCAGAACTCTGCAGCAATGGTCAATAACAAAAGCCTATAGCTGCAAACAAAAGCCGTGGATAGCTTCCTCTGCTAAGGAGAAGGAGACAGATAATTAAGGCGTGGTAAAAAGAAGCAGCCGTCTGGCTCATTCACCTGCAGAATGGCTACAATGACACCAAACAGGCCAATTGCACTGCCAAAGATTTCCACAATGAGGATCTTCACAAAGAGGCTGCCGTTCTGGGCGTCAGCCAGCGCTGCTCCGCTGCCCACGATGCCAACACAGATGCCACAGAAGAGGTTGGAGAAGCCCACAGTCAGACCGGCTCCGAACATAGAGTAACCTGGTGGGACGCAAATCGAATGAGTCAGAAACCTTTGTGAGAAAGAAAGAATAAGTACTTTATAGATAGAATAGAATCGTTTATTGTCATTATACAGGTACAATGAGATGAGTTGAGCTACTACTTTTTTTTAAGGTCAATCAAAAATACAAAAACCAACAAGAGACGTACACACTCCTGAGTGTGTACATCTCTTTCCTCAATTTCTTAACAATGTTCTCCATAAGCACTAGCATTGGCTATTCTTCCAGTAGTCTACACACATACATTCAAACACATTTATGTCATCCTTGGGTTTATATAAATGAGGGCTGTCAAACGATTACAATTTTTAATCAGATTAATCACAGCTCAAAAATTAATTAATCATGATTCTTTATGTATATTGTTGTGGGAATGGAAAGATAAATGAAAGAAGGCGGATATATCCATTTAACATACAGTATGTTTATTATAACATTGTTCTGTGTGTCAAAATGAAAGACAGCCCACACACCTATCAATCATCAAACCGTGGGGTCTTATTTCATTACGTGTTGATTTCTATCAACACGTAATGTTATATC